TGACAGCAGTAGACTAGCAGCGCGGGCAGCGGGCGAAGAGCAGCGCAGTTTGGAGGTGCTGCTCTTACTGGGCAGGAGAGAAGGACCGGCGGCTCGGGCGGCTCGGGTGGCTCGGGCGGCTCGGCGGCTCGGGCGGATCGGCGGCTCGGGCGGCTCGGCAGCTCGGGCGGCTCAGCGGCTCGGGTGTTCGGGCGGCTCGGCAGCTCGGGCGGCTCAGCGGCTCAGGCGGCGCGGCTGCTGGAGGCACAGTGGCGGCTGCTGCTGCAGGGACGGCGGTGGGCGCCGCTGTAGGTGGCGGCGTCGGCGGGCCGCTGTAGGAGGCGGCGGCGGCGGCGCGTGCTGCAGGGATGGCGGTGGCGGCCGCTGTTCCAGGGACGGCCGCGGCCGCTACTGTAGGGACGGCCGCGGCGGCGGCTGCTGCAGAGGCGGCGGCGGCCGCTGCTGGAGGGACGGCCGCGGCGGCGGCTGCTGCAGAGGCGGCGGCGGCCGCTGCTGGAGGGACGGCCGCGGTGGCGGCTGCTGCAGAGGCGGCGGCGGCCGCTGCTGGAGGGACGGCCGAGGGCGGGCCGCGAGAGCAGCGCGAGGGGCCGTAAGGGGCCGCGCAAGGGGCCGTAAGGGGCCGGAAGGGCAGCGCGAGGGGCCGAAAGGCGGCGCGAGGGGCCGTAAAGGCGGCGCGCGGGGCCGACGGGCGGCGCGAGGGGCCGCAAGGGCGGCGCGCGGGGCCGACGGGCGGCGCGAGGGGCCGCAAGGGCGGCGCGCGCGGTCGACAGGCGGCGCGAGGGGCCGACAGAGCGGCGCGCGAGGCCGTAAGGGCAGCTCAAGGGGCCGTGAGAGGGGCCGCTAAGGGCGGCGCGACGGTAGGGAGGGCACTCGGGGCGCGACTCGGGCAGGAGCGAAGCGCGCTCCGGGCAGGAAAAAAAAAATTCGAGGTGGGCCCTAGAAAGCGTTCCCACTAGGGAACCTGCTCTGAAACCATGAGAAGAAACGAGGAATGAGAATGACTAAGGGAAAGTTGGGTACAAGTACAAACCCTAGAAAGCTGTACCCCATATGTGCTACCCCACTATAGCCTACAGCAGCTATGTCATATAAATCTGACACGTCGCCCTTGCTTCGGTAGCCAGTGAGCTTGTTGCACGAGTCGCCAGTGGGTCCGTTGCTCCTGCCGCTCGTCTATAGCCGCGGAGCCAGTCACTCCAGTAGTCCGTCGCCCTTGCTTCGGTAGCCACTGAGTCAGCTGCTCCTGTGCCCGTGCCTCTGCAGCTTCAGTCGTTGCCTCGCATCTTCTCTCCCTCCACACTCTCTCCTCCTCCTCACTTGCCCTCTGTGATAGCCTCTAGCTTTGCTTATCATTGTGAACTCTTGCTCTATGCCTGCATGCTGTACTGATTATACCCCACTTTGACTATGGGGGTGTGTCATATTATAATGCTTGTCTAGTCTGTAGTGGGGTACTCAAAAGTCAGCATAACCCTTTTGGGCTTGCTACTTGTATCCCTCTCCTTTCTAGTTCAATCACTTCTTCTCCTATTTCTCTCTCATATACCCTAAAACTTAGCTATGGCTTCTTAGCCTTAGCTACTATCTTAACAGACTAAGCGTGCATCTAATTCCGATAAACACCGACTAAGTGCCAGTTGCAGTTTCCGTGCGGTCGCGGTATTAACTAAACTGTAACTTGCTCCTCCATCGATAAAAATCTTCATTGCTGCTCCCTGTATTTTCCCGTGAATTAGTACCGGACAATTCGTCGCTTTACCCTCCTTATTCATCCAAGCCTGAATCGGTATCGATGGCGTGAATCGGTGCTGTGACTCGGTGAGGGTCGGTGAGGTTGGGCGAGGAGGTAGTCTCGTCAGTAGTTGGCCCAATCTCTACTGACTGTTGGCGTTTCCCTGTCTCTGAGACTCTCTCTCCCTGCTCTATTCCGCGGTGCCTCAGCTCCTCTGGGCATTCGCTCTTGCGATGGCCCGGCCGATTGCAAGCAAAGCAGCGCCCCCTTAAATGGCGCGGCAGCTGCATTCGTCGCAACGGCGTGTATAGTGGCGTGCTCGGTCAGCCCCCAAGGACGATGTCCGTAGTAGGACCCCGGTCTTGAACGGTGCAAAATATCGATTTTCTCGGCGAGCTCGAGGATCTCGTTGAAACTCGAGTGCCCGCGTAGCATGATTTCGTGCGAGATGTCCGGCTTCAGCCCCCTGACGTAACTGTCCACCCGCTCCGCTTTGTGCATGTAGCCGACTTGCTCGCATAATGCGAGAAAACCGCTCGTGTAGTCTTGCATTGACCCGAGCTGCCGCCAAGTACGTGGTTTTTGACGCGCCGAATTTGAAGCCGCGATTGGCTCGAAGCGTGCCCGAAGCCCTGCGCACCACGCGTCCCACGTGCTGTACTGGGCGGCTTCGCAAAATGAACTCCAGGTGACGGCTGGACCTGTGGGCTCTCCTTCTTGCGTCGGCGGCTTGTAGGCGCGTGGCGACGTCACAATGACCCGCCACCAGTCCATGGCGGGGCCCCTCAGCAGTGATACTGCGTAGCGAATCTTCGCTGCATCGTCCTCGACGTAATTTGCGTCGAAGAAGACGTTCATCGTGAAAATCCATGATTGAACCGTCGGTCCCCCGCGTTGGCTCGGATAGAAACAGGGCGGGCGCTGCAGCCTGAGTGGCAACGGTGCCATGACATCGCTGTTGCCACTCGCTGCTGCAAACTCCACGTGCCGACGGGCTTCACGAGGCCCCTGCGTGCTTGGTGCAGCCCTGACTCTCTCCATGCCCGGCATTGAGTGGGCGGCGCCATCACTGGCTGCGCCTGAGCGTTGTCCCACGCTGTCGTGCTGTGATGGCGTGCCGGACGAGATGACGATTGGCTCATCCGTTTGCGCGGGTGCATTTGCGGGTGCGTGTGTTGGTGCTGATGCGTTCGTCGCTAATTGCTGGCAGGCGGAGTCACGTTCCGCCGTGAGTGTCGCAATCTCGAGTTGCGAATCCTCGAGTTGGCGCACCAGACGGTCAAGCTGCTCCTACGTCAGCGTCGCGAGAGTAAATTCGGCCATGGCGGGGGTGTCGGGCGAGCTCAGCGAGAGCCTCTGTCGTGGCCGTACGTGCTTACGAGAAAGCACTTCAAGCGGCGGTGCTTGTTCGCTGAGAGACATCTACCCCCCTTTAAAAAATGAGATAATGGGGAAGCGAAGGTGTGGGTGCGGTCCGAGAGGAGATCGTAGGCTCTGATACCAAGTGTTACGAGTGCAATTGAGCGAGCGAGCGAGAATTGCACTATCGAAGCAAGAGTACAATGAGCAAAGGCATGAGCGAAGAATATATAGCGAAACTACAGTGATAACGGTAATGTGTGGAAATTGGGGTGCGCGACGGGCCTAGGGCCGAGGATGGGAAAAGTCAAGGCAGAGGTCCGGAGCGCGGGTTACCAACCGAACCGTGAGGTTGGGTCGCGTCGTAAACAGTGGCGGGAACAGCGTCGAGGCGAGTGTCGCGAGTGGTAACAGTTTACTGTTGGGTGCTGCTGGCGGGAATAGTGGTGTACGCGCTGAGCAGGGACGCGAAGTAAGGAAAAGGAATTTTCCTTACTGAGTGTCATGGTAAGTTCTCAAGGAGAGGGGGTATCATGCGCCGCAGGGCGAGTTCCTCTTCTGAGGACGCGTCACAATTGCAACACCGATCCTATGCGGGATCAGTGTGCACAATCTACAGTGTGTTTGTCAATTCGTGAAAGCTTTATATCCCTATTTCGTCTATATTCACGCTGCAAATCTTGTCGAGCACTTTCCGAATTACCGAGATCGGATGGCCACATTAGAAGCGTGGGAATCGAGATTGCGCCTCTAGTGATGGGCACGATCGATCGGCGTTGCATATAGCCGGCCAGCGTCGATGCGGTTATAGGACGAAATTTTGTGCGTCGTCACAAGCATGACGAAATTGGACTCGCCAGCGAAGCAATGCGACGCCCTGACATCTGGGTGTACAAGTTGGCATGGGAGGTCCCCCACCTGTAATTCTGGCCGTGTCCCAAGTGGCTCGGGGAAGCAGCCGACACTGCTCGCGCAGATTGAAACATGCTGTTTCACGAGTGATGCTGTCATTTTCAGTGTTTGATCCTGATCCCTCCTGGTATTGCAATTGTGACGAGTCTTGACAGTGGTTTGAACGAAACCCTTCTTGTCTCTCGCTTGGGTGGGTCATGGATGCAGGTGGTACTGTACTAGGGCAAAGAGCGGAGTTTCAACGATTCTGTGAATCTTTGGTGCAACGATTGATCGTACTAATCATAATCTAGTTTTGAAGTCAAGCGAGGCATGAAGCAAACCTTGCAAACGATACCCACACACCCCCGACCAAAGCTCGTCTGCCACCCTCCTTCGTGACAATATTTGGAGGTTGTCGAGCTGGTGTTCGGCGCTGCGCCATATCATCCCCCCAACCTGACACCAACTTCGATGTCGTGCTCCAGTCGCGCCACCTTGACCTGGCGGTATCCGAAAATTCCGCGGAAGCGCGGTTTGTTTTATTTTCGCCATGTGGCGAGCCTATGATTGCGTAAACCGCGATTTGTTTTATTGTTCCCACAAATTTCAAGAGAAATGTAGTTAAAGCTTTCGTATACATTTGAAAGTGGGAGTTTTATAAGTTTTGAAATTTGAAAACTGGTTACCCTATTACAACTCACTTCCCTCGTCCCACAAGGGCGATGATCCCCCCGAAACCCCGCACCATCTCCTCCTCTGACTGCTGGTTCAAAATTTTTGAAACAACAAAAGTATACAAACTAACTGCTTTCTCAGAACTAGGCCACTACGTTCGGTAGTCCGACAACTATGTAGATAAGCAGATCGCGATTCAACAACCTGCGCAAACGAACACCGTTTCCGACATAAACGGCGACATAACTAGAAGTATAGAGACATTACGCGTCCGCACCAACACAGGTTCCGCCCTCTCACACTCGCCTCTCACGCGGGAGAAAAGGGGGATTTCAGAGCGTTAAGGGGGTATTTTGAGAGGGAAATGAGAGGGAGAAGGGGGGCAGCTGAGAGGGAGAAGGGGGGCAGCTGAGAGGGAGCAACGGGGGTATTGAGATGGAGCGAGGGAGGAAATGAGGGAGGGTAGCGGGGAAATGATAGGGAGAAGAGGGTGGGGGCGGGAGGGGAGGGAGAAAAGGGGGATCTGAGAGACTAGAGGGGGGAACTTGAGAGAGTGAAAAGGGGATAATGAGAGGGAGAAGGGGGAGAAACGAAGGGGAAGACGGAGGGAAATGGGGGGGATATGGGGGGGTAGTGAAAGGAGCAGGAAGGGAAATGAGAGAGAGAAGGGGGGGACGTGTGGTGGAGAAGGGGCGAAAATGAGTGGGTGAAGTGTGGGATGTGAGAAGAGGTAGGGGGCGAAAAGAGGGGAGCAGAGGGGTAAATAAGAGGGAGAAGGGGAGTAAACGAGGGCAATAATGGGGGGGGGCTGAGAGTGCGCAACGAGGGAATTGAGATGGAGCGAGGTAGGAAATGAGGGGGAGAAGCGGGGATATGATAGGGAGTAGAGGGGAAAGGGATGTAAGGGGGATTTGAGAGCGAGAAGGGGAGAATTTGAGAAGGAAAAGAGGGGGCAATGAGAGGGAGAAGGGGGAGGAATGGGGGGGAGAAGGTGGGCAAATGAGGGGGAGACGGGGGGGTAATGTGAGGGAGAAGGGGCTGAAATGAGAGGGAGAAGGGGGGAAATGAGAGGGAGCAATGGGGGAAATGATGGTGAGGGGAGGAGGGAGGCTAGGGGGAATGAAAAGGGGCAAGGGGGAGAAATGAGAGGGATAAGGGGGTAGATGAGACAGAGAAAAGGGGGATTTGAGTGCGAGAAAGGGGGGAAATGAGGGGACGAAGAGGGGATGATGAGAGGGATGATGGGGAGCAACATGAGGGGGAAGGGCACCCCACCCATGAGAGGGAGAAGGGGCCAGAAGGGGGGAAAATTGTTGGGTGCAAATTCACATTGCACGACATCCTGCCGTCTGTTTGTACGAGTATGCGTCTGCGAATGCATTTGGGTGTGAATGGAATGTTCGTGTGTTTGTTTGCTTTCGCAATTTTCGCTTGAAGCATTTGCAAGTACTCGCGCATTGTGCGCTTCGGCACAACATTGTACGCGCTATGAATAGTACAAGCAGAAAGGACGAGCTCGCAAAGGAACCCAAGATGGAAGCTTTGCGGTTCGGTTGAATTGATTGTGTAGATTCAGTTCTATCCAACTCTAAATTGTACTGTTTTGTTTGGTTGACTATAGTGTAGCAGGGCAGGCACTATAGGGGTACAATTTAGGTGAAGGTTGGATGTTGTTTGTCTGTATCTGCACGCTACAGGGCCAGGGGAAACCAGCGGAACGAGCATTTGGCTGGTTGGGCAAAGATAAAACAGGTTCTGTTTTTAGGACCTGAACCTGGTTGTTGTTTTTCCAGGTTGGAAAAAGAGAACCAGAGGTTGTTTACCAACCTACCACCTGCTGTTTTGTCCAACCAGGTTGGTTCTGTTGCTTAGAATTATTTGGGATCATCCCTGGTTGTTCCCAGGTTTATTCCCAAGGTCCTTGCTAGCTAGAACTATTCATTCCTTCTCTGTTTGTACCTGGATATAGTCAATTTGATTCAAGCGAATTCCTCCCTTGCTGGAATTTCGTTTATACGCGGTGCGACGGCAGAATGCTACCCGAGTCAACGCTAGTACGCTAGCACTCCAACACTAAGCAAACGCTGTCCGAGCCATAAATTCGTAATGGCAGATTTTTTCGCGATGCAACTTGGTTCATTTTAAAGCTCTTGGAGCGAGCTTTGATATAGAAAATTCTCAGCTTAATCCGATCGACGGTCTGCATGATACGCTGCGCGACGTTCAAGGTACTCTTGCTGTTTTGACTAAGTCCCTCTTGATCCCTCTCTCTACAAACTCGGACCCGAAGATAGGGGCTGGTCTTGTACCAGGCACCCAAGGACCCTTGGAGGTGACCCCGAGGAGAGGTTTTAAGTTTGATAAAGTCTAAATAGCTTGAGTTTATTAGGCCGTTACACTAACAAAAATGTGTGGGAGCAGGAGCTGAACTGAGAAGGAGAAGAGGGTAAAATAAGGGCGAGGGGGGTTGAGAGGGATAAGGGGGGGATTCGAGAGCGAGAGGGAGGGAATTTGAGAGGGAGAGGGGGGGGAACTCATTGGATGGGGGCCTCCCTGGTTGGACGACAGGAAATGGGGGAGAAATGGGGGTGTGAAGGGGGCCAAATTGAGGGGGAGAAAGGGGGGTAATGTGAGGGTGGATGGGGGGAAATAAGAGGAAGAATGGGGCTCATGAGGGGGTGAAGGGAGGGAACCGCGGGAGAAGAGGGGGAAATGAGCGGGAGCATCGACGTTAAAGGAGGGTGAGTAGGGGGGGTTATGACGAGGAGAAGCGGGGATAACATGGGAAGCTCAGGGCTGGAAATATAAATATAAGCAGGAATCAGGCGCGCTGCGGATGAGGCGCTAAGCGGGAAAGGCGCGCAGCGGGCGAGGCGACGAGCGGGAGAGGGGCGCAGATGGTAATTTACTAGGTGTGAGAGCCGTGCATAGTGTGCGGTGTTAAGCGGGAGAGGCGCGTAGCGGAGGAGGCGCACATCAGGCGAGGCGGTAAGGAGAGTGCGCGGCGTCGCGTTGTGTCGCGCATGCAATGCGCTGAGCTGCCGACAGGCCCGCAAATTTCTCATCGCGGGAAGGCTTACTCTATCGTGGCGACCCAGCGTGGTGATGCTACCGGAATAGGCGCCCTTGATGCTTTTACTCTGCCGCAATGTGCAGCACGACGTGCTCGACGAATGCACAGCCGCATCCCGTCTGATTGCTGAACGGCGCTGCCACGGAAGGGAGTTGGCACGCAAACTAGATGGCCGTGGTAATAAACAAAGCCTACAATAGAGGTAGACCCAATTGTGAAATGCACTGCACTTTCTCATCCGAACTCGCCACTCACACTGCCAATCCAGCATAGGTACCACTCCTCTCAAAATATAACAGTCACCACAGCCCTCGCCCGCGTGCTGCTCACTCCTGTCTTGAATCAACACACAGAAGTCATCTTGACAAATTGCAAGACACCCCTTACTCTCCTGCCATTTCAGATTGCCACTCCTCTCCGGAAATCTCAGTCACCACAGCCCTCGCCCTCTTGGTGCTCACTCCTGAATCAACCAACCGAAGTCATCTTGACAAATTGCAAGACTCACCTCACGCTGACATCCCAACTCGTCCCTCACGCTGCTGCCACTCCTCACGAACTATATCAGTCAACACAGCCTCCACTTGGATCCAGCTCACTGAATGGCTCTTCCCAAATGTCGTCTCTGCTTGAGGGAAAGCGCAGGGGAGGAAGTGAAAGGGAGATATGAGGAGAGAGGTGGACAGACAGAGAGAACGAGAGATAGGGAGAGAGAGGGTAAGGTATGGGAAAGTCACTCATGGGAACGAGGGGGCGTGCAGAATTAGACGACACGAGTTGGTAACAGGAATGAAGCAGCTGCAACTATATCAGTGAGTTCACCCCTTTGCTTGTTTTGTTTTTTTTCAACACCAATATTATCCAATAGTTTTACTAAAACTAAGAAATGGATGGAATAGCAGCCTTTTGAGATGCCTCAAGAGCGAAGACAGAGACAGGTCAGGTGGCGGAAACCAGTGATAAACGGCTCTGCAGAGGCAGACGGAAGACAGAGAAGCTGGTGAAGCACCGACCCAGGTACCGGCAGCGACAATAGCGGCTGCTCCCAAAACAACGGCCGCTACCGCAGCGCCGCACCCCCAGAATTAGCTCCTCCAGTACTAACACCATGAACGCCTCCAGATCCAGTACAACCACACCTTCTGTGGCAGCACCTCCTCCAGGACTAACACCAAGAACGCCTCCACCTCCAGCACCTCCAGCTCCAGCAACTGAACCTCCAGCACCCCCAGAATATCCAGTAGCAGACCCAAGTAGTGGCAGCAACGTCTGCTGCTGCTCCCAGAACAGGGGCTGCCGTGGCAGTGGGTGCAACTCACCCTCAGAACCTCCAGCAGTATTACCCTTGACTCCACAAACACGAGGACCCGCAGCACCCCCTGCGGCAGCTCCCTCTGAGTCAGCACCTCCGGAACCAGCATCCCCTGAGCCTGCACCTTCAGCGTCACCACCCCCAGAACCAGCACCCCCGGAGTCCGCACCTCTAGAAACACCACCCCCAACAGCACCGGGCTCACCAGAGTCCACAGCGACAGGCTGCAGAGGAGGCGAAGACGACCGATATGGAAAACCAGGAGGTGTCTCCAAGCGCAGTGGGCGGCGAGAGGCCTCTCTGTCGCCAATAGCAGGGTCACCCCCCTCATCCGGGCCAGAGGGGTCTGAGGAGACCTCCAAAGGCACAACCGAGGGGAGTGGGGGGACCTGAGACACACCTGAGGGAGCAGGACGAGGGGGGAGAGGGGGGTCTACCTGGGGGGGACCTGGAACTAGGAAGAGGGGCGAGGGAGGTACGGGGGAACTGCGGTGGGGGTAGAGACGGTAGTAGCAAACCGACTCGTCAAATGTGACGTCTCGGGTGGACAGGACGCGACGAGTGGCTAGGTGGTAAAACTGCCAGTCAGGGGCGTCGACAGGAAAGCCAAGGAAGACGTGGCGAATAATGCGTGGAGAGATCTTGCCCGGTGTAGGATCGCGGACAAGGGCAAGCAAACCCCAAACCTGAAACGCAGACACATCGTTAACCTCCCCCGTCCAAAGAAGGGTATGCGAGGTCTCTGGCTATGAGACACGCGGCCAGTGGTTAAGCTGATGCGCGGCATATTAGACCGCAAATGGCCACAGGAAGTGGGGAGCAGCCACATGGATCATGGAGGCAACCTCAACAAATGTAGATGGAGCACTGGGAAGTTCTGCTGTAAACGTGCCTTAGCTAGAGACAAACAGCGCGGATCCAATTGATCAGATCAGTACAGACGTTGCCCTTATGCTCTGAGGGAAACACCGTGGTATAGCACGTGAAGTCGTCGACGAACAGCAGAAATTAGCGCTCCAAGTGCAGTCCATGGATGGGGGCGGGGCCCCACACGTCCATGTGCAGCGTCTGCAAAGGAGAGTGTTCGGAGGAAAAGAGGAGGAGTGAAAAGCGGCGCACTGCCGCCCCTCAACTTAGGAGTGCGCGGAGGCGCAAGCGACGGCGGGAGTGGGGGCAGGGACTCCAAGAGTCCAGAAACAAGGGGACGCGAGGGCATGCGACAGAGACGCTGAAGGGAGGGGAGACCAAGATGGTGGTGCCAGATGAGGGACTCGTGTGTGAGCAGCCGACACGAGCAAGACGCAACTACCTGACCTAACGCAACAACCTGGGGGGACTCAGTGTGCAGTGTGAACAGTCCAGACCTGGGCCTCCTCATGAACTAGGCTAGGTGAGCTCCAATTGATGTGTCCATACAGGTCGCAACTCGCTTGCCTCCAAGTTTCGTAGTGGTCAAGAGAAAATTCTTTAGGCGGCCTGTATTCACCTAGTTCGAAGCGAACGAGGGGAGGTGCAGGCCTGTGAGAGAGCCAGAGGGAACTGCTGGGCACGGGAGAATAGTGAAGCTGCAAGCAACAACGGGCCCGGAGGTGGGGTCGGCTAGAGTGACAGGGACAGGAGCCGACAGTAGTGCTATCGCGGAAAAAGCACCGAGTCGTGACGGGGTCCAACGTGAACGTGAGCGAAGCCTTCGCAGGAATTGCACATGTGCTAGCAGGCTCGCCAGCACCTACACTAGCAACCCACTCACGAAGCTACTACAGCGAGGGAGTTGTAGAATTCCACTACTATAGCAGCTTGATAGAGCTCAGAAGCACGATTCCAACGCACCAAAGATTGCTGGAAACGGTCCACTATAGCCAGAGATACACACAAACATAGTAGTGATAATGAC